TGCGTGACAGACGCACACACAGACACACAAACACACAGACACACAGACACACGGACACACAGACAATCCCTCGTCAATATGCGTTTTTCGCATTGCATTGCTGCAAAAAACGCATAAAAACGTAAGCTCTGACAGTCGAGATTACTTTGTTCAACAGTACACGCATGGAGGCAAAGTGTCTCACGTGGTAATGTAAAGCTCATATATTCACAACTCGAAATGTTTAAAAAATTTAAAGCAGAAAAGTCCCCTTTGTCCAAGGCATGTATTCTGGCAGGATGGAAACTGTTTGCGGTTAGGAATTATGGCCAATGAAATGCTGTTCGCCATGGGCTTGAGAAACGATCACGAGAACTGATTAAAAAACTTAAAACAGCGAAAATTTCACTATTTTGCGCAATAACGAATGCCACTAAGTTGGAAAATGCTCATTTTTTTAGCCTAACATTAAAAACCAAAAAGTCTTTACCACATAATCGAATGCTGATTTCCACCTAATACACAAAACAAACCCTTACTCTCCTACTAACAGGGGACAGATTATTCGAATACCATATTTCTAATCATTTCTTATTTTTAAAAATTTTTATTTGGAGCGCATAAATTATACCTGACAATATCCATGGAGAAATTTTCGACAGCAAAGTCCACAGCGTGTGCGGCAATGCACGCCAGCGTCTGTTCATTGCAAGCCTTGAGCCACGGGAAACGCACGAGAAACGAACGGACGAAATGCAACAGAGGGACACTCACTGGTTGTTTAGCCGCAACAATCAACCGCTTCTAAAATTCTATTTCAAAAATCAACTGAAACGAATTCATCGCCCTTGAAATCTAATGAATACCACAACGGTCTTATTCCACTTACCTTATCCGATACTGATGAGCTACTGAGCCCCCACCTTAATCTCGTAACCCTTTATACTCATTCAGTGGATCCGAAGTTAGGGGTAAAATTCGAGAAGAGCATTTATCCAGCACATTCACATACTCCCAATCCCAACGTACCGCTTTAGGACAAGAAATCACAAAGGCAAACTTCGGCCTTTGTGATTTCTTGGTTCACAAAGGCCTCCCTCCCCCCTTCCCCCCAATCCCCCCACCCTCCACCTCCCCAAATACATCCAAAACAGCTAAATACCGCAGTGGTAGAAGCCAAAAAAAGAAAGTCTCTTTTTTGAAAGTACACCTGCCGCCCCTCAGCACCACCTCTGAAGCACGTTCCCGACTAAATCATTGAATTTACACAAACTGAGAAAACAGGATTAAGGCAAGATTAAGGCTACCTGGATCCTGGATGCGATCAATCTCAGCATCTCATGATTGCAAGCGTAGACAAGCTTCGCCAACAAGGCCCATCCCATATCATTAACTCCCGACAGTTCTCCGAATTCATCAACAAGCGAGAGCACTGCCTTCTCCAGTTTCACCGGATCTGCCA